CGCAGGCGCCCGCAGGCCCGCCTCGGTCCCTGCGGGCTCTCGGCTCCGGGTAGCCCCGGCCTTCACGTACGTGTCCTGTGCGTGCCCTTGTTCTTCACGCCCGGGCCTTCCTGTCTTGGCACGTCCTGAGGTCTGAAGAAGCTGGGAAGCAAGGTTAAGGCTTTTTATGGTTCTTAGGATTGTGCCAGGCCTCCTGTATCTATGGTTCTTCCTTCACATGCATTCTCTATTGTGTGTGTGTAAAACCTAGGCTTTTAGTTCTTGAGAATTAAGTCAACCAACTCTCGAGTTCTTTCGTCTCCACCAAAATACAAATAAATGTCAATTCTTTTCAGTCTCAAGATTCAGACTCTTCCAGGAGCTTTTGCTTCTTGGAAGTTTGCTGTCACGGCTGGTTTGTCATGGCAAACAGAGGCTTAATCTCTGTGTATAACTGCCATCGAGCATTCAGGCTTAAGAGCTCTTTGTTTTATAATATAAGCACACTAAGCCCAGCTGTAGTGCAGGCCTGCCAAGGCATACAGTCAAAATACATCTTTTTATTTGCAGGTGCAACATGCAAGTAAACAAATTGCCGCTGATAAGCAGTACAAGGGTATCATCGATTGTGTAGTGCGTATTCCAAAGGAACAAGGAGTGCTGTCTTTCTGGCGAGGAAACTTGGCAAATGTCATCAGATACTTCCCAACTCAAGCTCTCAACTTTGCCTTCAAGGATAAGTATAAGCAGGTGTTCTTGGGAGGTGTAGACAAGCACACTCAATTCTGGAGGTATTTCGCTGGTAACCTGGCTTCTGGTGGTGCAGCTGGAGCCACTTCCCTCTGCTTTGTCTACCCCTTGGATTTTGCAAGAACCCGTTTGGCTGCTGATGTTGGAAAAGCTGGTGCAGACAGAGAATTCACTGGTCTAGGGGACTGTCTAGTCAAAATTACCAAGTCTGATGGTCTGCGTGGCTTGTATCAAGGGTTCAATGTCTCTGTCCAAGGCATCATCATCTATAGAGCTGCCTACTTTGGGATCTATGATACAGCAAAAGGTAAAATTTCAGGGAGGATCTGATAACCCTGTTTTCAGAATTGTAGTGTCTCTTCATGTCTGTTCCTGGATGTTACTCCATGTCTGTCTGTAGTAACTATAGTTTATGTGAGTGTGGTGGAAGGGGGCAGCATTGGTGCGAACATCAGTGACACTGCAGTGTTCAAGGCAAAACTCAGGCACGTATTGATGGCAGCAGGCTGCTTTCAAATAGTCCTGGTTTTGTACTTGTCCTTAAAGGAGTTTTTCCTAATGCCAGCAAAGCATGTTGGTAAACATATGCAATTACAAGTTCTTTTTTTGTTCAGGGCAGTCCTGTAGTTATATTAAACCAATTCAAGTATGTTTAGCAGAATGGGATTGAGCAATGCTTTTACAAAGCACTTGTTTGTTAAGCTTGACATCTGGGCACAGAGGTCGTTGATACTAGCTTATAGTTCAGTGTAATTCACGGGGATGATGACTTATTTCTACAGAGTAGGGAATAGTTAGATTTCTTCTTATGCCAGTCTGTAAAGAATCCTGTTGCCTAAATGTTACCTGTTTTGATTACTGAGAAGAGAATCCTGTGAATTTCCATGATTTTTTTAATACTGCTTCAGCATGTTTAAATTTTACCAAGTGTCTTGGTGCAACTTCAAAAGTATGGCTTTACCATGTTTCATAATACTTTGTCCAGTAAAGTAGCTGTCATGCAGTGAGTGAAATGGAGGAGGATGTACAAGATAAAACGCTAATTGCTTTTTTTATTGCAGGCATGCTCCCAGATCCCAGGAACACTCATATTGTTATCAGTTGGATGATTGCCCAGACAGTGACTGCTGTGGCCGGTGTGGTCTCCTATCCTTTTGATACAGTGCGGCGTAGAATGATGATGCAGTCAGGACGCAAAGGAGGTAGGCTCTTAATTTGTGCAGTTCTTTAAGCAGCATTAACGAGATGGAGTGCTTTTTTGCTAATAGTCATCCCTCAGCACTTACAGTTCCTTGTTCCATAAATCTGATTTAAGGTATAGTACATTTACATGATAGGAGGAAATGCAGTCGGGCCATAACTTGCAGTGTTTGTCTGGAATTATGCTGAGGACTTTTCTTTATAGAATATGAAATGGGCAAATGGACTACCTGTTTGCCATGACAAATTAAATGAAGGCAATCAGGGGACAGTGTAATTGTCAAAAAGAGCACTTAACATTTTTGTTGTATGACTTCGCTTTTAATAACTAGGCAAGCAGATAGGAAGCTTTTTTACTGCCTGAACTAGTATTGTGTTACAGTCTTAAAATGTGGTTTGGGACAACACAAAGTAGCTAGAGAAGTGAAGCAGGGCAGTTGTTAAAAACATCTTAGATACAATTATAGGAGTTAAAAATGACTCTTTGCTCTTTTTCTACAGCTGATATCATGTACTCTGGAACAATTGACTGCTGGCGGAAGATTGCAAGGGATGAGGGAGGAAAGGCGTTCTTCAAGGGTGCATGGTCTAATGTTCTCAGAGGCATGGGGGGTGCTTTTGTGCTTGTGCTGTACGACGAATTCAAGAAAATCATTTAAGCAGCCTAACTAGAATTGGAAATCAAGTTGAGCAGATCATGTAGAGTAACTACCATTATGGACCATTGACCTTCAAGAAATTCCTGTGAGTCTTATTTATCGGAGCCAGATGATATTTGTAGATGGGGCTAGAAACTGACATAAAGGACTGATCCATTTCTCAGTAACATACATGAAGACACTGAATCTGGCAATTCAGTGTGGTGATTTTTTTTTTTCAGCAATGAGGAATCAGTGGTGTTGGTGCTGGGTCCAAAGTGGCTGGGTCCAATTTAGGCAGAAAAAATTGTTTGCCTGTGGATCAGTCCCCGGTTTCAAGTCCTATCTTCTAGGACCATAAAATTGTATTTGAAAGTACTTGCTAACAAATCATGTTCTTTTCCACTTGTACTGAAGCACTATGTACCATTTTGCACAGCTGAACATCTAGCAATTTTGTTCTTAAATTGGGGCATTCTGCTGTAAAACAATAAACATACTTACTCTGTCTGTGTTGAAATTATTACATAAAAGCTTTGGGAAAGCCTCTTTTGTTTGAAAACTTGTTTCAGATAATGGTTCCTCTGATACACTTACACTGCACTCTGTAACAGAATAAGCTTGATTTTTTTTTTTTTTTAAGAAATAATTGAATGTGAGAACTTTGGGGGGGAGGGAAGCATGGGTTATACTAATAGAAACCACTCCCATTCTTTGTGCCTGATAGTATATGATGGGCTGCTGCAAGTGGCTTTTTGCATGATTCTTAGAAATTGATTTGCAATTTTTCATATGATTTAAAAAGGGGGGTTTTCTGTTGTAGTGCTAGGAGAACCCAAAGTCCCAAGGACAGTCAAAAAGTAGTACTCTTGCCCTTGGTAAAACAGCTTAAAATGAACAATTTTTTTAAATCAATATAGAGAGCAACATGGCATTCATGCAAAAACCCAGGAACCTAGTAAATGCCTTCAACTTCCGAGTAACCTATGTATTGTATTGTTGCTGCTATTTGGAAATGCTGATTGTGCCATTCAAGATATTGTTTGGCCTGATCTGTAGCAGTGGTCAGTACCCTCTGTGGAAGGTGAATTTAATCTGAAACGAGGCTCATTCTAAGAGGTGAAGTTGATGGGGTGTGTGGGAGGAATACGTATGCTTCTGTGTAGCTGTAAAATGTAGATCAAGGTAGGTCAGCCCTTCAATATTAGCTGATTGATGTCTAGTTCTGAGGATTGTCAGAAGACCAAAAACAGCTTAAATAATTTCTCATACTGCTATTTGAGATGATGTAATACTTACGTGCTGTTCTTCATATGTATATAATCTTACTTTTGTACTTTGTAATCTGCAGACATGGTAGGGGGACCAGTAAAGGAAATCATGTTTTTAAGAACTCTCCCTGTATCTTGAGAAGGAAACTGTGTCATTTTATGAGTCATTGAAGGCTGACTGAGCTGTCTTGAGTTCTTTTGTGTGCCTTCTGAGGTTGCTGTTCAAGATGAAGTATTTAAATTACCCACTTGGCTTTGGCTGATTATTACCTTTCTCTTGAGCATAACTTACCTTTTTCCTTTCACTGTTGCACAAGCACTGCTTTCAGCATCTGTATGTGAATGTATGTATGTTACACAGGTACTTTGTACATGGACTAAGAGCAAACTTTACGTACCTACTACAAGTGTTTTTATCCTGTTCAGTAATGGTAGCTCTCTCTTGGTGCGGGCAGGTCATTTGATGTTGACCTTGCCAATCAACCTGCTGTTTCAGTTATATTAATTTTGGAGGGTAGGGGAAGAGGGTTTTTGTCTAGATAAATACGTTGCTTAGGTTTATTTTCTATATCGGAGGAAGAGATAATGATGGAATACCTCCCATAACCTCCCTGCGGGCGTATGGCGGCCCTAGCTTTGTGAGGAAGCACCAAACATGACAGTTACTTCAGCTTTCTCCCTTCCCTCCAGAACTAGGTTTTAACCAGAAGAAATAGGAAAAGAAATCAATGCAAGTGTGGGTGTGGGGTTTTTTTAAGTGGAACTGCAATTTACCTATGCTGTGTGTTCAGCATGTACTACTTGGTGTTCATTTTTTTAGTATATGGCTTCCCTTAGTTGTGCAGCAGCAATTTTCAATGTGTGATTATGCAGTGTGGGAACATAAGAGGCAAACAATAAATGAGACTTTTAAAAAAAGCATTTGTTTTCTGCCTTATTGAAGCACTTGATGAAATGTATTTATTTTGAAAAATATTTTTAACAGGAAAACATCTAGCATTTGTAAAGAAAATACTGGCATCTAAAGCCTATATTATTTTAAAAAGGTGTTGAAAATAGGGCTTGCACACTTAGAAGGGAATAAATAAAATGCATTGGTGTGAGGGAATCTTCACATCTAAAATCCAGTTATTAATCTTATTACAGATTTAATTCCAGTTCTTACAACTGTTAACTGGATTTTTTTGAAAACTTAAATGCTATATGTGTGTTGAGGCCATACTAACATTGCAGAGGTTCACATTTGCATTGGCAGTACTGAGCTAATGAAATGGCTGGCTGGCAGCCGAACATTCAGTTACTTTTGGCAAGTGTCGTCGTATTTCCCATTTTCTGTTTTGCGTCAAGTTTGTTGAATATGCTGAGGCAGTTTGGTATTGCTGGTTGCAAGGTTGAAGGGCAGTTTTAAACACATTTTTGAATAGCTTCCCCTTCAGAAAATACTCTGAGTATATAAAAATTATAAGCTGGGAAAACTAGCTACTGTGGCATTCTCAAGCAGTCCTACCATTCTGTAGGAAATCATTATATTCGGAGGAAAGAAGCATCATAACAATAAAGATGGGAATTAATAACAAGTTTCTTCTGTGTTGTGGGTGAGAGGCCTTGTCTCGCATGGTGAAGACAATCTCAACAGGGTTAAGCAGGTCTTCACAGTAGGTGTTTGCAGAAAAGCTTGGCTGCCAGGTACTGTGTTTTTGAAAAAAGGGAAAAGAATAAATTTCACTGATTTTTCTCCACTTTTTTTCCCCCTGCTCCATTTTAGTTGGATTTTTATGGGACAAATAATTTTATAGGTGATGATATTCACTTATAGTCTGTGCTTTGAAGTAATTGTCAGGAGGATCCATGATTTTCTTTCATGTTGGGGAATCCAAGTGTGTTTTCTTCTCGGAAAGTTAAGTCATCTCTTCAACCATAGTTATTTCCTCGGTAGGACTTTTTTTTGGTAGATTTACGTATTCTGTCTAAAGAGAAAGAAAATTCTGTAACATGCAATAAGCTACAGACTCACTGTTGGTCAGAGAACTTTTCTAAATGTTAGATACACCAGTACCAAAGGCACCTCGTCTTGCTACTTTAATACCTAAGAAATGCTTGCAAAGCAGGAGAAAACAGTTAAGGATTGTTTGACTTTTAACATGTATGATCAGTGCTAGCTATTTGTCAGCTGAAGGAAAAGGAATAAAAGTTGATTTAAATGCTGGACGATCTTAACTGAGACAATAGAAGAAATTTATTCAGTGAGTATTGCCCGAGTTTTCCATGTGTAGGCATTAACTAGACTTAGAGAAAACATTTTGGTTGCTGTCATGAGGTTTTACGTTGGTTAACCTAGAGTTCTATGAGAGTGGAAGTTGCTGGGTAAGATCATAGTACTGATACAGGGCTTGGGGCTTAAAATATTGAGGGGAGATAAATTTGATTTTTAAAAAAGTAGGAGGGATAGTACTGGAAAAAGTAAAAAAAAAAAGGCAAGGTAAAAAAAAGCAAGCTTGCTGTCATATTGAGGGTGTGTTGCAGAACATGGAACCAAAAGGTCTTGGGGAATTTTGTCTAGGAGATCTGTGGGCTTGGTAAGCACTGCAGGGCTTCATGGTCACGGTGTTTTACGCTACTCAGCCATTCACTGAGGAAAGCAATGCATCTGCACGCAGAATGTCTCTCGCAAGTTCTTGGAATGTATTTAATTCAGGAAAAGAGGAAAACGAAGTATTAAAAGTGTAATTCTGAGTGAGGGTGAGGAAAGCATTTGGGGTGAGAATGACCAAAAAGTGAAGGAAGAGGAGTAAAATAAAATGGGTTAGAGGAATGCAAGGTGTCTGATGAACTGAGTGAATTGGTTGGTAGGATCTTGCCCACAGCAAACAGGAAAACTGGGAGTTCTTGAACACGAGCGTTAAGGGTACAAGTGCAAACTCAGTGCAGAAAGGTTAAGGTTGTAAACCATGAGGTTTTTCAGTGATCTAAGGAAAAGTTGTCTTGTGAAACAGGAAATATAATGAGAAAATGTGAAAGGTTGAGTAAGTAGAGACAAAATGAGGGAATGCAAGCTTTAAAAAGGTGTGGGCGTTTAAAAAGGGTATTACAGGTTCAAAATATCTCATAAATATATTAGCACTAAATGCCAGGAAGAGATAATCCTGGTATTCAGTAGAGAAGGAGAGGTCTCCTGAGGTAACCTATTTGTGCTTTATTATCCACTTTGAAGAATTGCAGCATTCAATCAGTGTTAGATATCTGAGTGTGGAGAGAAAAGGTAAAATAAAACCAGGCTTTAAGACTGGATTAAAATAGGCAAAGAAGAGTCTAGAGACTGTTTAGACACGACAGACTTATGAATTACCTTCACGGTGCCTGTTGACAGGTATGAGGCAACCGGAGCTGAGGGCTTCACTTGAACTTTGACAATTACTGCTGCTAAGTTGCTGCCTGCGTGGAAGTGCCTGTGCCACCGTTTACAAAACCACATCCACAAAGGCTTATGGGTTGTAGCGGAGTGGTTTGAGTAATTCCAGCAGCATATGCACAGGAATAATCTGATAGACTATGGACTGCTGCTCTGTAGCCTTAGCTCTGGCAGCCTGATATGAAGTATCGGGTATTTATGACTTAAGATAGATGAAGAAACTCATCCAAGTTACATTGCTACCTGCCTTTCTATTAAAGCCAAAGATGGTAGGATCCACGACAAGTAAGTTAGGACAATGTGCTGGTATACAGTTACCAAAATTGGGAAGATTTAGTAGTAACAGCTTTGAGGATTCTTTTTAAAGGATTGATGGAAAACTTCTGTGTCACTTTTGAAAGCCTCATTGAAAAGTGTGGTGGTGGTCACTGAAACATTGTAGGCAATAAACAACTGGTCTGATTTATTGACTTGCAAGTACCTCTTCGCTTTAGGCAGTTGATACAAAGCATTCCCTCACTATGCAGACACTGTGCAAACTGCTCTTCAAGTGGACGAATGAGCAGAGAAGCATGAATGGTTTGAAGCCGGGTTGTCCTGACATGTGAAGAAAGACTGGAAGAGTTAGTTGCTGTTGACAGTGTGCAAGTGTGTAAGATGCTGTAAACAGGAAAGGAATAAGGATAAGATGTAATGGATTTTAAGTGCAGTAAAACAGGCTATTAAAAAAGCTTTCTAAAAATAAAGATAATTAAACATTGCAATAGACTGCATAATGATGCTATAGAATTTCAACTGAACACAATTTGCACAAAACGTCAAAATTGTCACAGCTAATCCCATGTTGAAGCAAAGAGGAAGGCTTGTTAAGCTGGTGAGACTTTCCAGCCCTGCTTTTCATGATTCAATGCAACAGGGTTTTTTTACACGGGTATAGGTCAGACTTATAAAATATATATTCACATTGTATTATGATCATTGATATTTGAAAGTGCTAATGGCAAATGCTTTCTCTCTTACGTTATTTTCAAAGTATGAACAGCAACCTAGCAAAGCTGCTACACGCAGAAATTACTGGTCTCAGTAAAAGCGGTAACTGGCCTTAAAATATGGCTGCAAATACGTACAGGATAATCACTAGTCTCAGCGCTGGCATAGAGCATTTCTAGTTTCAAAACAGCATACTTTGCATGGGAGCAAATTAGTTTTTAATGGACCAAATTTAACTCTCATCTTTATATACCAATTATTCTAGTCTTTGACCTATTGTGGTTTATAGTTAACAAATTTGACGGAATTGAAAAGAAAGCATACCTGGATATCTTCATCAGTTGATGCATTAAATTTGTCTCTTGGCTGCGGAATGGGAGAAAATATGCTTTTGAAACTGCAGTACCTTTGGGTAGAAAATGGGATTGTGAAAGAATTAAAAATAGTGGTAATATAACTTACACAAACATTTTGTGTTGTACCTTAAGGACATTTTTTACTTTCAAGATTGAATAGCTATTGCTCTACAAATCAATAAGCGAGAAGGAAAATATTTTGAATGTGGACTGGTGGGTAACTATCTTATCACTTGGATAACTAAAATTTATTTTGTGACAAGAGTCACAGTAAATACTTTATTAAAAAATTACTTTCAATAAATCACATGACATAACTTTCTTTCACCGCTAAGTGAGAAGTTTTATCAAACTAGTGACACGTTCACTTGTCCTCATTCCCTCTTGTCTGGTATTGTATGAAGCCAATGGCTTCAAAGCAATGTGGATGTTAAATGCTTAAAAGTAAGAACAGAAATGTTTTTGCAGTATCTAGTGGAATCAATCACTTACTAACTTTAACATTCTTTCCCTCTTTTTCACCTGTAGTGGTTTTGCATGTCAAAGTGGCATCCAGAACAATACTGATAATAATACTTTATGACATAAATAATTTGATTATTAAAGCTTGCAGGTAGGAGATAGGAGGAATGTGTTTCATAGAAATACTACTATATCAATAGTTTCTACATCAATAAGGTCGATTTACCTTTTGAAAAGACAATATTGGATCAGTGCCACTGAGATTGTTCCAAGTGCTACCAGAAATAAAATCACAAAAATAAAGTAATATTTCCCTTGACCTGAAACATCCAAGAGAGAAAAATATCTTAGCATGCTGAAAAGCTACCTTTGTGACTGCCAGTAATGAATGCAAATTTCACCCAATTTTTCAAATAATCTGAAGGATTTCGACTTGAGTTCTTAGAGAACCTTGTCAAAAAGTTCAGGTATGCTTGATGCATTTAAAACCATTTTGAACATTTAAAATGTAGAGAAAAAAGAAAAAATCCAGAGAAGCAGAAACAGTGTCACAGTACAAAAAACGGAGCAAAAGTGGTGGAACTGTAAAAAGAGTGTTGAGAAAAGGGTGAAAAGGAAGATGCAGAAGGAAGAGGATTATATTCGTGGCAAAAACTTAAAGAACTGAAAGGTAGCCTCAGCACTGCAAACTGATGACAAGACTGGGTCTGCCTCAGCCTGTTCCTGTAGCCCTGACGTCTGAGAAACTGCTGCCTTCACAATCCCAACTAATCAAAGGCTGGTATCAGCCTCCATTGCTATAGTACTGAAGCATCTCCTCCACATTAATAATTTCTACCCGGTTGCTTCCATGTCATTGGGAAAGAATTAAGATTTTATTTGTAACTGTGAGTGTGAGGGAAAAAGGGAGGCAAACATGGTAATACTGAAAAAAAAAGGATCTATATTAAAATAATATTTCACAGTCTTACCAAACTCGATGGGTCCACTCCATTCCCCCCAGACTGAGCTTACAAGACAGCTTTTTCCACGTGCTCTGATTTTCAGAATGTATTTTTTTTTCTCGTTGTAATTTTGGAATTCATATCTGTTTTTCCGTACCTAAAATCAAAGCAATCAGACTGTGCATTTCACCCCATAGGCAAATATAAATAAAATTTGGGGTTTAGTTTCCTGATACAGTTTCTATAAAAAACTAACTTGTATGACTTTGTAAGTATGTAGTAGTTGAATGTTCTTCTCCCCAAATTTAAAAACGTGATAAATTAGTTCTTCCTGCCACCGAATCTTTCTGTTTTTTGAAGTTTAAAGTTGGATTTTGAAGTTTATTGGGTGATTAATTTAATTAGATTTATTATGCTTTAAGGACATGTTTTTTTCCCTGTCCTTGTTTATGGATCCTAAAAAAAACAGGAGGACAGAAAGCTGAAACTGGAGAAGTACCCTGTAAATTCACCTTGGTAACCTTTACGGGGATTAATCCTGCAAATATTCCCTGGGTGGTGTCTGTCTTTGCTAAACAGACTTAATGTTTCTAAGACAATCCAATAACAGATATCTATCATCTGGCCTCACGATACTTTATACAAAGTCTGGAATCTGCCAAGCTTAAGATGCTTCCAGGGCTGAAAGGACCACTCATTTGTCAGGAGAAGACCAACAGTGTGTATTGGAATCCCAATTAACTTTCACAGATTTTGAAGATCTAGGCATTCCCTCTGTCTAGCTGTCCTGAACTACAGTGGTATTTTTCCACCAACAGGGAGAAGAAAGAAAATGTTTCCAATTATATTAAGCAAAATGTCACAACTGCCTTAATCAAAATCTATTTGTGTGATAAATGGAAAGTATGAAATTTTGTGAAATTCATCGAAAATTTTGCCTAGTGTAAGCTACCCCATCCAAAAGGGATATATTAAGAAGTTTCCACATAAAGACACCACAGGAACATTTCTTTCTGAATTCTTACTGCTATATTGATACAAAAACTATCGTTCTAGAAGTAACTATATTGTATATAATTGTATTTATATGCTTAAGTGGGCAAAAGCACAAATTTGTGTAGGACAAGAATACTTACCTTTACAAGATGATCCTTTTTCTCTTGTTTGGGCTCATCCTGCAAACCAAACACAAATATTCATTTTTATTATTTTCTTGTCAAATAATCAAATATTTCTCCCTCTCTTGTTCTCATTTTCTTGCTTATAAAGATCATAAGTAATTTTAAACTGAAAAATCAATTGGATATTCTGCTCCAGTAATGTCCCAGAATATAGCACTTTATTCAGAGCTTTGGCTTCCTCCATTTCATTTTAGAAAAGGAAGGAAACATTATTAACATGAATTATATATCAGTGGTTGTGAGTAACTGTATTTGCCTCTAAGGGCATATTTACACTGTGCATTCTCATCCAGCAGAAATATATTCAAATTACACAAGCAATCAAATCATCCTCCAAACACAGCAGACCTGGAAGCTGTGATTTCTCAATAGTTTGATAACATGGGGCATAAAACTGATGTGAACAGCAAATTTATCCTCCTTCCAGTCCGAGTCTCTGTTAGACATCTGAGAGATCCATACTCAGGGGCTTTCCCCAAAGTGCTGTGGAGAGGTACTTATGCATTCCGTACAATCAAAATTTAATTATCTAGCGTCAAACATTGACCTGGATCAAAGAACCTGAAAATTTTGAAAAAAGGATAGGTTCAAAAATGAGTGAACAAAATCAACAGCAGTGATTTTAGCAAGGATCCCAGAAAACATTAAAAAGCTGAGGCCCTGGAAACATCTACCACCTGTAATGTCAGAAGGATAGCTAGCATGATAGAAAAGTCAGAAAGATGTTATTGCAAGGAATGTCTCATTTCAGAAAATTCACCTGTCATGTATGTTGTGTTATAAAGTATCGTAGAATCATAGAATACCAGGTTGGAAGGCACCTCAAGGATCATCTGGTCCAACCTTTCTAGGCAAGAGCACAGTCTAGATGAGATGGCCCAGCACCCTGTCCAGCTGAGTCTTGAACGTGTACAGCGTAGCAGACTCCGCCACTTCCCTGGGGAGATTATTCCAATGGTTGACTGTTCTCATTGTGAAAAATTTTCCTCTCGTGTCCAATCGGAATCTCCCTGGGAGTAACTTGTACCCGTTACCCCTTGTCCTCACCATGTGACTCCTTGTAAAAAGGGAGTCTCCATCTTCTTTGTAGCTCCCCTTTAAATACTGGTACATGGTGATGAGATCATCTCTAAGCCTCTAATGACTTCTTTATCTCTGCTGGTGATGCCCTTTTTGATGCAACCCAGCATCCTGTTGGCCTTCTTGGCTGCAGCAGCACACTGTTCATGCATGTTATGTTGAGCTTCCACCAGGACCCCCAGGTCCCTTTCCACGGAGCTGCTCTCCAGCCAGGTGGTTCCCGGCCTGAGCTGCACTGCACTATTCTGTTTTCCCAGGTGCAAGACCTTACACTTGTCCTTGTTAAACTTCATAAGGTTCTTGTTAGCCCACTCTTCCAGCCTATCCAGATCTTCCTGCAGGG